AGTAGTGGTCATCTTTGTAGACCAGTGCTCGGACCACTTACTGACCTGCAGGGCACGTCACACAGGATGCGATCGTAGTAAAGGATGTCCTGCTTCCCGTCCATGTCAGTCTGCAGTCTTGGGATGCAGGAGGCGTCGTGGTTGACCACCATGATGCAGGGGCTGTTGAGACGCTTGGCCTGGTGCACCAGCAGGTAGCAGCGCTTGTTGTCGACGTCATTGGCAATTACGAAGCCCTCTGCAAAATACAGGCATACGGGCAAAGGGGGATTAGTTTTGTGGTATGAAAATAGATTGGTAGACAGAATTGTTTTCTATCAGCCGTTACTGTGGACCGGTAATACCGCACCATCATTGAAGAATCATTCAATTTCCAAGAAAAAACATCTTATAGACCTTATTATGGTAGTATCAGAGTCTGAATGGCCTGTTGTTTTGAAACATTATCAGATTATCTTTGAATGAAAAAAGTAAAGGGATATGACTGGATTCATTTGGAATGGTACAAAATGACCTACGGACCGGCACCGGTCCTGGTCCCCGGACTAGGAGTTGGGAAACCCTGCCCTACAAAATAGTTTTTAACAAAGACAAATATTAATAGATTTTGACAATACTCCTTACCTGGAAAAGGCACATCCATATCAGCATGGAGCATCTCGATCAGCTGGGCTGTCTTTGACCCTGGAGCTGCACACATGTCCAAGATCTGGGGGTATAAAAAACATACACATTAGCACTTTAGATAAAGCGCAGCTGTTCTCTCGGTGCAAAACAAACAAAATAAAAATGGATACATCCTATTACCTTGTGGTGAGACTCAATTTTCAGGAGCAGAGGTGGGATCATACTGACAGCCTCCTGTCGACTGATGTTACCCTTTTGAGACCAACACAACACTAGGTTTGCTCTTTTATTATAATTAATCATGCTGCGTGCAACCTATGAAAACGTTTGTGTCACACTCACCGATTCTGTCTCACTGACGAGAAACTGGTGGAACTTCTCCAGCAGAGGCGACTTCCTAATGATCTTCCTGCTCATGTTAGTGTGCCAGGCCTGCTCATCAGGATACCTGCCAAAACAAAAAGGATACTGAGTTTTGTATTAGCCTAAACCTAGGCTACATTTAAGTTTTATACTTGTCACCCAGGACTATACCAGCTCAGAGGCTGTGGAGCCTCAATCTTCTGCCCATCGATTTCCAAGTCTTGAATTTCCTTGAAGTATTTCTCTTTCAGACAGTGGAGGATCTCCTTGGCATGACTGTGACAGAGAAACAGTGAGACAATCTGAATTAAATACATGCCAAGGGAAAAAAACATTAAAACACATGCCGATATAAATGTGATTGCAAATAATATAGAAAATATTTTCCAAAATCCCTTGTATTATTTAATTGAATTATCAAAAGTATAGATAGATATATAGATAGATAGATCAATAGCTAGATAAATACAAAAATACAGTATAGCACCAACATTACACAGAGATACAATTAAAAAATGAAATAAAAAAAGCACAACCTAGACAAATAAAGCGATAATAAAATGTGTCCAAATTTCTAGAAAATGTTTTTATTTTTCATGATGTTAAACACAATAACTACTAAGGTGTAAGTCGGAGCATCATTCTACCTCTTGTATCCAGTGATGCGAATGGTTGCTGGCAGTGGTTCCCTCATTGTCTCCATAAACTGTTCAAATTCCCCTTCAGGTATCAGGCCTTGCTCCTTGTAGTAGTTTTCAAACAGTTTATTCTCCTTGACAATGTCAGCATAGCCAGCTCCCCAGCCCTGAGTGGATGGATGCAGATTCATTCTTATGGATCACTGTCACTCATGCATGTTTATCAGTTAATCACAAACTATGCATGCACTTCACATCAAATCCGCAAAAAAAGTAGATAGCTATTGCTTTTTCTGTTGTAATCGTGATACGCTTCATAATGACCAGCTCAATTTACTGTATATATTACTTACATTTCATCCCACTTTGAATCGTTGCAAATAAAAAAAATGTCTGCTAAAGTAGCAGCGTCATTCCAATTTGACAGTACATAGGAAAACTAAACTCGATTCTACTTAACCTAGGTGAAATACATTAATTTAATTCATAATAATACGGTTGATAAACTAATAGTAGCATAAAGTTGGAGGAGAATGATGGAGCTTACTGCGTTATCCCGGGCGTCTCTGCCCTGGTTCTGCTGCTGTTGCCGTTGTCTGCTTCTTTTCCCCATTTTGGAGTAAAATAAAACTCTAGAGAAAAGTCTGTGCAACAGTGTTGCTGAATTAAGTTCAGAATTTCAGGAGGAAACTGTTAAAATTATTTTACGTACACCGCTGTGGTAAGTGCAATTCAACGAAACGTGTTGTCTACTGTGACGCACGTGAATTAGGACCCTAATAGGTGGCCACTTCGTTTGCGCGAATAAAATAAAAAATAGTTTTCGTCCTTCTTGTGCCGTACAATCTTTTAAAATGCTTTTTGTTACATTTTGAGGAATTACAATCAACAGTTGAGATTTTTTTTTTGTTTTAGAAAGGACCACAATTCTATTTCAAATTAAACATGTTGCGTTTTTATATTCAAGTCGGCATTTTCCTTACACATTTTGAGAAACAAAACTTTCTCCTAAAAATAATTAAATATATTTCACGAGTAAAAAACTTGAATCAATAGCATATAATAAATATAACATTAAAATAACATGTAATAATAAAGTTTTTCCAGAATATGCAAATAAATAAATGCATTTGAAAATAGGACTAGTAATATCATTAAAAATAAGTGGTTATTATCATTCAGATATTAACCACTTATTATTAATATATTAAAGGATCGGGCAGGGTTAAATTACTGCAGGCAATGGAGCGTACATTTTTATTGTTGTTCTGACGTCAGGGAAATCGACGCCTCTATTTTGGAGCACAGTTCTAATTGGTTAATCTGGGTTGACGCGTTATCGCGCTGTCGATTGTGATTTGTTGACTAGTCTTGATTAAATAACATGAACCTGGATCGAGTGCGTGCGGTAGTACGCGAGTAGTATCAAACGGGATTCCCGTTGTCATTAGAGTTTCTCCCATACTGCTTTGGTAGTGTTAAAAGCGTTAAAAATGGACGAGTTCCTGTCCCGTCTATTCTCTTCAGAAAAACAGGAACTCTACACGCTGGACCTGTTAGCCTACACCACAGTTTTCTTTGCAGTCTGCACATTTTTTACCACGCTTTTTGAAAACATTCCATACGGCCGATATGCAAGCAGTAGATATGGATTTCCGGTCAGTGTTAAATTCGCCTGGTTCGTTCAGGAGCTGCCTGCCATTCTTGTACCTGTGTGTCTGCTGTTTTGGACAAGGTGTTCCAAAGCGTCGCTGCTGCCCAACCAGATACTCATAGCAATGTATATGTGTCATTATGTTCAGAGGTAAGAAGCTGGCACCAGCCACAGGACCATACCTTAGTGCCCCCCGAAATATTTCATACAAATTTAACCAATTTAAATATAATCTATCTTCATATTCACTGTAAACGTTGCTACTAATTAATATTAACTTAACTAATTGGAATTTGTTACATGTCAAAAATGTTCCTGTCCATGTCACACCATGTACATATTTAAGTTTATGTTTATATATGGCAATACACATACAATATTACTTTGGCTTGTTCCAGAAACAGTACACGTTAACCTAAAACTCACCCAATACCCACTTAAATACAACATCTAAAACTGTCTAATTCTGTGGTTAGCAAGTAATTGATCACTTGCATATAAAAATATATATTAGGCAGTCAAAAAGGGTAAAATATCTCACAAACTGCCAGCCCTAAAGCCGTTCCCCGTTGTATTGATAACTTGTGTATGTTTTGTTGCAGATCCCTCATTTATCCATTTTTAATCCGAGGAGGTAAACCGACACCGTGCATCTCATTTATACTGGCCTTTGTGTTCTGCACCTATAATGGCTACATGCAGATCAGGTACCTGAGCCATTACTCTGAGTACACAGCGTCTTGGGTTACACATCCCTGTTTCATTACTGGTAGGTGAACTGTGCCTCCTCCTTTGCCTGTTTAAATTTTCTTTGTAGAGATTGAATTTCACAATTTATAATAACAGAACGGATCAAAAATTTGCAAAGAGAATCGCAATGTCAGAGTGGTTTTACTCTATAGGACAACCACAGCAACAGGGCCACAACTTTGAATGTTTCCTGTGCTAAAAAAAACACGATCGTTAAAAGTAAGCTATATATTTAGACACCTTTTCTACTGGACTTCCATTGGTTTCAAATGAGTTTGCCTACTACCAAACAATAGAACTAAATCTTGGTTCTTCTTTGACGCAGATTAGGATTGCGATTGTTCTTCAAGGTTGCAATATTTAATCTCACAACTAGATGCTGCCAAACTCCATGGTGAAGGGCAGTGTTCTCGACCTTTTTTCTAGAAAGGTCATCAGAAACTATATGTAATGGGTGATGATAAAACTTCTCCGTTTTCAATTTACTTACAATTTTCATATTCCATGTGAAAACTGTGCCTGTTTAATTGAACACTGCATTGATATACAATTTTCATATTCCATGTGAAAACTGGGCCTGTTTAATTGAACACTGCATTCGCAGTGCACTCACAGGAATTGAAGACTCTCTCTTTAGATTTATAACCTTTTGCTGCCACCTAGAGGAGTAACACATTGTTCTGCCCGGCAATGTCTTATGGACGAAAAAAGACATTGACCCTTATATTTACATAAGGAAATCTTCAGTGAAACGACTGAAAAAAAAAAAAAAAGGTTCATCTCATTGTAAATTGTAATTTTTCCAGATTGAAAGTAAATGGCAATTTTAAAACAATGTGAAAAGTGAACGTCCAGATTTTAAAATCGCTGGTGGGCGGTCTTCCTGTCGCTTGGTCAATGTTTTGCTGAAGAAGTATTTGGCTGCTTTGTCCCCAGGATCTGTCCTGTGGTTGGCTGGCTGGCTGGTGAATGTGCATTCTGACTACATCCTGAGGAACCTGAGGAAACCTGGGGAGACTGGGTACAAAATTCCCACTGGTAATGGCTTTTGTCTTACACTTTTTTACCAGCTGTAAGGCTGTATAGCATATATATATATACATACATGCATATATATGTATACATATATATACATACATGCATATATATGTATACATATATATACATACATATATATGTATACATATATGTATATGTGTATACATGTATATGTATCTATATACATATATGTTTTTATGTATTTATATTTGGCAATGACAACTATTATGACAACTAGCACCTGGAGCCGGAGGAATAAGTAGCTACAAGCTAAGATTAGCTTGGCGGAGTCAGACCAATGGTTCGACTGGTCTTTATCTATGTGAATCTGAAATCTAAACAGTTTCCCACAGAGAGTGGCTCCCCCCCCCCCCAAGAACTCAGTCACAACAACAATACTGCAGGCTCGAACTTGCAGTGAACCTTTCAAACAATCCACTCCAAACCCTGAAAGAAAATAAAGTGGAGAAATCCAGAAGGGTGGAAGCTGTGAGCTGCGTGACTCCAAATGAACTTCAAGGCACGTCTGGAATCTTCTCAGCCAAGAATCTGCCATTTTCACAGGGCAGGGTAGCAGCACTACTGCTCGCATGGCCTGCTGTCAAATAGTGAGTGCGTGGCCACTTGTGGTCAGACGGGAGAGAGTTCCATGGATTTTTTTTTTTTTTTTAATTACATTAGGAGATAAGGGGAAATGTCAGCATTCGCTTGGTTTCGTATTGATTTGCAGGATTTGATTTGGTTTGAGTACTATTTCTCTGTGTATCTTCTTTCCACAGGTGGGATGTTTGAGTACGTGTCAGGAGCCAACTTCTTAGGAGAGATTACGGAGTGGGCAGGTTTCGCTCTGGCATCTCAATCTATCCAAAGTTTATCTTTTGCCTTCTTCACTGCCGTGGTCCTCAGCAGCAGGGCCGTGTCCCACCACAAGTAAGATTGACAAGCAGTAATAGGTATGCAGAAAATGCAGGAACGACTGGTAATTGTGTCCATGTCTTCTCCATCTTTCTCTCGTTGCGTAGGTGGTATCTTGCAAAGTTCGACGACTACCCTAAAAACAGAAAGGCTCTGATACCGTTCCTTTTCTAAGAATCGCTCCTTGAACCAGAGCCATCGTTGGGTATCGTTGTTCCACAGCGAGGAAGTACAGCCCTAACAGGAATGTCTGTTTTTGAGTCAACAAGCAAACCCACAACAATGACTTGATTCACTGTTAAAGGATGGATGAACCTAAAAACTGTTGAAGACAACAGTGTTGTGTAACGGAGTGAGCATCAACTGAGGTCCTCATGGTTTTACTGAAAATTATGATGATGATAATTGTTGTTGTTGATGATGAGTCTAAGTAAATAACTCTGAATATCACATCTGTATGTATATATAACATATTTTCTGGACTCACTCTGGAGTATACGTCGCGCCAGCCAAAAATGCATAATGAAAATGAAAAAAATATATATAAGTAACTGTGGGGTATAAGTTGCACTAGTGCCCTCTAGTGTGAAAATAAGGAATATGTAATTTTTCAGTGGTACAGGAGTAGCAGATACTGGTACACAAGCCTAGAGTGAAAATAACAAACAAGTAAAATTATATATTTTATTATATAAGTCACACCTGAGCATAAGTTGCAAATCCAGCTAAAGGATGAAAAAAAGTGCGACTTATAATCCGTAAAATACAATAAATATACATAACATGTCCACTGTAATGTCCAGTCCAGTGCCCATTTAGCTTTACATTTCGATGACTGCTTCATTTGACTTATCTGGGGATAAGGTGCTCCACTCCCTGCCTCAGGTGTCCACACCCCTTCATTCATCTGTTCCTCATCATCTAACCTTCCACACCTGTTTTTTTTTTTTGTATTGAGATCCAAAGGCATCACAAGAGAAGCTGCCCTTTTTTCCTCTTATGGTGAATCTATGGTTGGCAAAATTCAATCAAAACAATTTTCAGCAGAACAAGAAACCATTTCAGCTGCAGGGTTCTTACATGGTCACTGAAAAAAAAAGGCATCTGCACCATGTTAGAGATATCTCTGAGCCAGTAGTTTATTACGGCATTCGAGGCTGTAAACTTGTCCTCACTAGGTTCCAGCTGCTATTATAGAAGCTGACGGTGGTGAAGAGGTTTTTAGCAACGGCAAAGCTTAAATCTTGGGCTACCAAGAATGAAACAATTAGGCATTCATGTTAAAAAGTCAACCAGAATTAAGTTATAATAATTATCAGTTTATAAATATATAAAAAAAATCTGTATTTTCCAGACTATATGTTGCTCTGGAGTATAAGTTGGAGCAGCCAGCTAGAGTGCCCCCTAGCTGAAAAGTGAATTATTTGTCATTGTGACACAGCACACAACGAAATGTGACCTCTGCATTTTAACCCTCAGCAGTGTAACTTGGCAGTTAGTGGACTCGAACCTTAAACCGGACCCAAGTCCGCTTCCTTAACCACTGAGCCACCACTGCCCCAATACTTATGCATCTGTGAATTATTATTGTTCATACAATACACTGTTTGCTTCAAGGACACAAACTGCTTGAGTGTAATCACACCTACTGAGAGGAAAAACCGTAAGTGGGCAGCAGAGGGCGGTCTATCAGTCGTCTATTGTCACAAGTGCAAAAAAAACCCAAAACATATATAATAAATAACAATAATTTCTCTCTGCTTTTTCACTCAAATGTCTGTATTGGCTACAGGGTAGGGTGAAAGATAAGACATTCACTTCTACAGGCATTTCATGAAAAGGAGCAGCTGTGTCTTTGACATAACATGTTACACGAAGTGCTACATACCCTCCATGACACATTGCTGGAATATAGACGTCTGCTTAAGGGGGTTTTCCTGGACTCTGTCACATGGTACACGTGAGCAGAGCGGGCAGGAGGCGGGCGTGTGAGAGGCACTCTCCTCCTCTCGCGGCATTTGTTTACATGCATATTCATCACAGAAGCTGGTGCTGGTGGTTGTGGTTTATCTGGTCTGCGAACCTCTCCATCACTGATTTCTAACAGGGGCCGTAACTGGAGCTGGGTGGCATAGATTATTCTGGAATGATAAGCACCAGCTGCTGTGTATTGCTTAAAAAATGTATATATGGATGCAGTGGCTGCAGCATGGAGCTGGATTAATAAACAGGAGAGAGAAGAGGGGGGGAAAAAATAACCGTGGTTTTGAGGTCAGAAATCACTGCTGTTTGCATGTGCTATGTATGCGTAGCATGTCAAAGGGCCAGAATTGTAACAAGGCCCTGCAGCAGTATCTCAGGATGGCAGCTGAAAGCACAATGTGAGATCGGTTGCTCTGTAGTAGAGTATCTGTTTTCATTTCAACACGATGTGCAATTCGGTTTTTCCCTAATTGCAAAGATGTTAGATGTTTACAGCGGGAGTGTTAGCCGACAAATTCAACATATGGGTATAGTCTACTTACACCTGGAGCAGCGGTGGCTTAGTTGTTAAGGAAACAGACTTGGGTCTGGAAAGTTTCAAGTTTGAATCCACAGGATGCCATCCCCGGACCCTGCTCACGAGTTGCAATTTCCTGTGTACAGATGTGTGCTGTGATAATAACAAGTAGTTCATTTTTACTCTCACTTTCACTTTCACCAGAGGTACCTCCAACTAGTTTCCATCCTGACTTTCTTAATACATTTATGGGTGATGGTAACGTAACCTAAACATCTGTCCCATAGCGTAGTGGTAAGCACGCCTACCCTCAGAAGCATCGAGCAAAGGGTCCGGTGTTCGATTCCCAGATGAGCCACATGCTTGATTGTTAACCCTCCTCTTTGTAAGTTGCTTTGGATAAAAGCGTCTGCTAAATGCGTAAACATAATGTAATCGCAAAGTGCTGTAGGTTGAGGATGTTGTAAACTGTGGATCAATCACACCTTGTCCCTTTATTGAGGGTCACCACAGTGGTTGTTGTGGAGTAATTCACTTGTGTGACCCGTTTACTGGCATCCTGCCAGAGCAAAAAAAAAAAGAATTTATTCTGTTTGGCCCGCAACTTGACCGTTTACTGGCATCCTGCCAGAGCAAAGAAAAAAAAAATTCAGTTTGGCCCGCAACCTGGACTGTGTTTTAAATTTCGGTCCCCTGTGTGATTGAGTTCGACACCACTGCTCTATACAGTAATTTTATGATAAAAATAAAAGGTTTTCTCTCTTTCGCAGCCACAGTGAATTCTGTAATAGTAGAAATGAATTAAAAAAAAAGAAGAAAAAAAAGAGCAAGGTACACCAATGGCAAGTCAATAGTATATATATAAAATGCTACATACACATTCAGCAATGCTTTTTTTTATTAGCTATATGTTATATATGTTATACCTAAGCTGTGGTGGCTTGGTGTTTAAGGAAGCGGCCTGGGTTCCACATTCAGCAATGCTTTTTTTTATTAGATGTGTTATACCTGGGCTGTGGTGGCTCGGAGGTTAAGGAAGCGGCCTGGGTTTGGAAGGGTCCAGGTTTGAATCTCAAGGTGCCAGGTTACCACTGAGGTGCAAAATTAACTGTAAATTATTTTTCTTTCAGAATAATTTCACATACATTTTTCTTCTGGGCTCTATAACAAATGCTCCTTAATACATTTGCAAATGCACGCACATCCATAATAATCAGTTTTCCAGCTCTTTAATCTCAGGCTATGACTGAGTCTGACTGACTGCTAAACGGCTGCGTTATGTAAATGTAATATACACCACTCCCATGATCTTCCTGTGCTGCTTTTGACGTTTACCTGTCAGTGCTGCAGAACTCAGCTCCCTATTGATGGGGAAACCCTGTGAACCGTCCCACTCGATCCCCACCTAGCGGTGATAATAGTGAGGTGCAGAAGCAAAAACAGGACTTATTGATCTCTGCTTCTTGAACTTCATACGACATTATTGGGTTTTCATTGTATACCCCATGAGTATTTCGATTAAAAATAATTTATTAGATGAAAATATCACATTCATTTCTGTGTTATGCATGTTAAGGGCTGGAGCTATGAAGGAGTGGGCGGATGGGGGGCGCAGTCATCTTCAAGAAATCCCTCGTAGGGCGCATGCGCGTAGATTTGAAGAGAACTCGCCATATTGAATTCTCGTAGGAAACCAGCTAGTAGTTTTCCCCCAGCTAGCGGTGCAAAGGGCCACTTTATCAATGGTCCTTAATTTGGTTTAGGATTTAAATACTTCTTATTTCATAACGCTTTTGGTTACATTTAAAGGTTGCGGGAAGCGGAGCAGACTCACGACGGCCTCGTTAGCTTAATATATACGAATAGTGCAGGGTACCAGAGGGAGAAGTTGAATGGATCCGAGGGTAGCTTGGATTCAGCCCGAGCAGAAAGGACCTGCGAACGCCTTGTGGATGCACGTCTGGGAGACCTCTCAGGGAGTACGGACGCTCGCCCAGCAGCAGCAGCTCCACAATCAAAACCACAACCAGTGTGTCAACTACGCTGCGTTGGATGTTTTAAAAAATGTGGCGACCGCGGTGGCTTCGGGCAAGAGCAATTGCAGCAGCAACGGTAACGTTACGGGCAGCGGCGGCAGCAGCAGCCATCGCGGTGTAATAAACGGCACTAGTACTATTAACGGCACTACGGCTTCAATGCTCGGGGTAGCACTGTCTAACGGAAACGCGCGTAGTAACTCGTATACCGCGTCAAACGCCGTACAACCAGGTGAGGGCAAAATTCTGCCCCAGAAGACGGGATTTATCTCCACTTCGTCCTCTTCGCAGGAATCCGGAACGGACAGTCCCCCTTCTGACTGCTCACTTGAAAGGACTATGGTGGGAAATGTAACGAGCAACGCAAATAAAAACGTCGGCGTTCCCAACCTGCTCTTCAGCTTGAACGACAGCACAGACAGTAATGTCAACCTTTACAACCATCACCTTCATCACCGTCATCTACAGGAGCATCCGGCTTTTACTCTACAGCAGATGTGCGCGAAGCGTCACCATGTTCACCCCTCTGTACCGATAAACCACGCTCACACTCACCACCCGGGTCGGCGGAAAAGTGACAACAAGGCGAGCACTTACGGGATGAATTACTTGCTCTCAAACTGCACAAACGGCAACTATGCGAGCACTTGGACGCCGTGGAAGACGAGGACGTACAATGTCGGAGTCCACGGGTGAGTGGCACAGTAACGCTGTTTTAAAACGCAAAGATAAATCGACTGCAAACTTCAGCAGCAGGTGGTTTAAATGGCGACACAAGTCACATATACACGACTCGACCTGTGTACTGTTGAACATAAGACACTATATTATGAATATTACGGCTTTACTACAATGTAGCGTCGAACGGGAATTTTGGCAGTGACGTAACAAGAGGTGCGTTAACCCTTGGAGTTTTAAAGACCATAAAGACTAAAAAGTTGTCTTTACAATTAGAGAAGTCGCAAGAACAAATAACAGTACACTTTGAGGCATGTCCATTATGTCAACTTTTATTTTATTTATTTTTTATATGTAAGCGTTAAGTTTCAGGTTCGTTTATTGTGTATTAAGGAGGGGCTTACAGCTAACCGATATCCATGAACAGTAATGAACAGTAAAATCAAAGAAGCAGCACCATAATAATAATAATAATGCTATTTATAAGAGATAAAAAGCCCAACTTGTAATGTTATTGTCATTATTTACTTTTATTGTTATGACTATATGTGGAAGAAAGGAAGACGTGATTGTTTTTCAAAATAAAATACCAAGGTAAATAAAAAAAATTATATTTTCATTAGATTTACATAATATATATATTTACATTATTGAATTATATATACTGCACTTTATTTTATTTACTTTTTGTGCACTGGACCTCCTCTTGCGCACACGACTGGAAAAATGCTCTCACATAAAACCAGTCTGTGGTTCAAAAAAAGTTGAGGACCAGTGCCTTAAAGGTCACAGAAAGTATTTGCTGATTCTTTGAAACCCCAACAGAGCACTGCGAGCACGTCGTCAAGACCAGAGGTACGCAACAACTTGGTCACAGACCGTACAATAAATAACTTTAATGTCATTATATCAATTAATAGTGTGAAATGTTTGTTTTTTTAAATGACTACCAAAATAAAATCACAGAATAAACTGAACAAAAAGAACACGATAGTATTGCTCATTGTTAATTAGTATTATTACTTTGATAATTACTTTGAATGGATGCTTAAAATGTCAAAATATCATTTAACCATTTAAATAATTTTGCCAGGACATTTTTTTTAGCTTTTATAGCACCACTCGCAGGACATTAAGTGTAGTTACATGATCTTAGGAATAACAAAATAAATTAGTAGAGACTACTGACACTTTTATAATTTAGTTTATAATCATATAATTAAAATTTATAGTGTATAATTATGTAATTTATTTATGTTTATGTTATAATCATTCAATATAACATTTTGACGTAATGACTAACAGACAGGAGTTCATCGTGATGTCATTTTCCACAGACAAGTGTGACAACAGTAGGAGAGAGTGCAAGTTGTCAGTGAGTCTTAAGTTTGGCTATTTAAAAAAAAGTTATTATATATAATTTTACAGTCAGTGTGTTCCAAACGTGTTAATAATAATACTGCTAAGTGCATGTAAAATCTTTTGCATTTATTTCGAGTTTTGCATTTATTTCGAGTTTGCATTTATTTCTATCAAGATTGAGCGCCCATTATATTGCTATGAGGCACGGGAACCAGTACTTGTACTTATGTATTGCACCTCAACCTTTGATGTGTATTTTTTTATGTCAATGCTTACTGTAAACTGATAGAAGCGTTGCAGAAAGCTGAGTTATTCGTCATGGCCGTTGCACCCATCGGGGAATTTTCTTGCAACATTCAAAGGGTTTGTCAGCATGCCTGACACTTTATGATTTCCTGTTTGTCTAAAATTAACACTAAACACTGATGTTTTGTTTGGTAGATAAAAAATAAATTACGGAAATGATTATCTAGGCGTCCCTTAGGGATGCCCTTTTGAAGGCCCGTTTTTAAAATCATTCGCGATGTTTTGCAGTTTGAACGCGTTGTTTACTCAATTAGATATACGGCTGTCAAGGTTGCGTGCACTGGTGAATATCATCGATTTCTTCAACACCAACAGTGGAGTTGTTGAAGTGAGACAACTCTAAACTAGGGATGACTGCAGTAGAGGTTGTTAATTTGAGAACGGGGTGGGGGCTCCTGTCAGTGGTGGTATTGGCAGGGATACGCCCCGTTCTGACTGGCTTACTTCACCAAGGCCTGTGTATACGAGCCGCATGCGTTTTCTCCTGGGCTCTGGTAATTGATTGTGACAGTTTTCCTGTTCTGTATTTCACACTGACATCATGGCATGCATTCCTCGGATGTGAATGGCCATAGGGTTGGACAGAGTTTTACTGTTTAGGCATTCGACTTGTCAGGAATCTCAACATTGTGTTGCTCTCCCTGGTGGTCCAACAGAACTCTAACAGGGGAAACAGTCAAGGCAAGGTTTTACACAACCAAACCCTATGATTTAAAATTAATTTCTGGTTTTTAATTTTTTTTCTCAGAAGATTAGTATTAGTTTGGTTGTTTTAAATTGTATTTAATTTTTTTTAAATTGTTTTAAATTTTATTTAATTTTTTTTTTCATCACAGTTTCATCTGTTTCATCTGTTTCATCACAGCAGATACAATTATCTGAAGGGGCCAGAGTCTGTGTTTCTAGTCTAGTTTGTAATATCTCTATTATTAATGTTTAGTTACCTTGGATTGTTTATCAGTAATTACCAAAATTAGCTATAGAGACCATGAACATATCACACTTTAATTAACATCTTAAGAGTGTATTTAACCTAACTCAACTCTGCATGGTTTAATACATGTATTTACATGTAATTTAGAGTTTTTTTAATTACATTATTATCATGGTTAGTTGAAATGACACTATACATTTTACTTATCTGATAGTAAAAAAAATAAAGTACTGTCAAGTGTTCTGGATGTTTATTAATTTTCATGTCAAGTGCGAATTTCTCCTACACATTTGTGCCAAACAAATGTAATTACTAATTCAGAGAAAGAGAGAGAAAAGAGTTTTTTTTCCCCCATGTTGTGATAAAACATTTATTTCTGGCTCATTCCTAAGATTGGGGTTACACTAAGGACTCAGGTTACAGTGTGGAGTACGACTCAGTCTGGTTTTTAAGGTTACTTAAGGTAATGTTTTGACACAGTTGGCATGTTGTATGTGTACAAAGGATTTCAAACAGGATTTTTAGATCGCTCCTATTTCACGACGTTGGTCTCAAACATAAGAATTTGTTTGGTTTTTTTTGGACGGAATTAAAGTTCCCCAGAAGAATCTTTTTTATTAAAAATTACAATGCAATATTGTAATTGCAATTTTTTTTATGTGCATATCTCATTGGTCACACATATCAAAACAAAACAGAACAGAACCGAACATAAACATACTGATAAGAATGTAAAAGAAACTAATTAAATGAAGTTACAGAGAACTCCTAGAGTACATATTACTGGTTAATTATGTTGCCATAAATAAGGGTTGCCATTCGTGGAAAGTTTTGACTATAAATCCTCTCAACAATTTAAAGAAAAAAAAAATCTTCCAATATTCAAATGCATATGCAGACGTTTATATTTGTCTCGGGTGTTGATTTTTGTGAGGATATTCTTATAAAATGGTATCTTGCGCAAGTCAGGATTTTACACTGACTTAAATATAACATTCATTTGTATTCCTTCCCTTTAGGCTCCACGAGGAGGTGATGGACTTCTACAACTTCATGTCTCCTCGGCCAGAAGAAGCAGCGATGAGGAAGGAAGTGGTGAACAGGATAGAGATGATCATAAAGGAGCTGTGGCCTAAAGCAGACGTAAGATCAACTGTTTATCCGGGACCGTTTTCTTACGATCTTTAACAGCAGCTCTGACTCGTTGGCCAAACGGGATTAGCATATTTTGATGCTTGAAAATTGATCTACCAGTAATGTCTCTGTGTTTAACTGGGTAAAAGCAACCGGTCGCTACATTTAACAAACAAACATCTGTGTACACAAAGAGTTTCGAGTTGCCTCCTGGGACTGGTTGACTAGCGCTCGGAGGCAGCCTACTGTATCCCATTACTAAATCATGTAAAACACGTACAACAATGATTTGCTGGCCTACCCTCTTCCACTCCGAGCCGGTGTCAGGTAAATGGATCAGACCTGTGATTTGTGTCATCCCTCCCTTTTCATTTCCACCTATTAATCCTGGCCTGCCTTTGTGCATTTGGTTTTATTGTGTTGGCCAGATAAAAAAAAAAAGGGGAGATATCTCTATTGGGTTTCCGTTTGAGGGGCCTTTCCTTTTCCCGACCATTGTATACTTCATTTGGCAGAGCACCGAGCTTGGCTTCGTCTCCAGTCTCCGTAGTGGAACCTGGAAATGCCTTTTTTTCCCGAGTAGTTTGCAAACATTCACATCATCGCCGCAAATGAGCTGTTGCGCCTCACTAGCCGCGAGCTGTACGACGTAAAATAGCTTAAATAGCCTTGCTTTATCTGTGATTTCATTATATTCATGCATGTTGATCATTATTTTTGTTTTGTTTTTTTTTCAGGTCCAAATATTTGGCAGCTTTAGCACAGGACTCTACCTTCCAACGAGGTACAGATAAGATTTGAAATAATAGAAGAATGTGTTTAAGGTGTGGATAATAACTAAGACTAAAAATCCATTTCGCTTCTTTGCTTCAGCGACATTGACCTTGTGGTGTTTGGGAAGTGGGAGCGTCCCCCGCTGCAGGAGCTAGAACAGGCTCTACGCAAACACAATGTGGCAGAGCCGTGCTCCATCAAAGTGCTGGACAAAGCTACAGTGAGTAAAGGAGACACACAGATTTTTTTTTTTTTTTCTCTTTTGTCTGGATGTAAATGAACGCGCATTAAAAAGCTAGTTTTCTGTACTGTTTAAAATTGATGTTCCATTATTCCGACGTTTTGCACAGGAAGTAGTTGGAAGTAGTCTGAATGTGCAGTAGCTGGTGACTGTCCTGTCTTCTTAGAGGACATCGGGGGCTTTAGGACACAATTGTGACGTGTGTTGATAGGTGTCAAACTCGAGGCCCGCGGGCCAAATGTGGCCCGCCAACCGCGAGAGCTTCAAAAACATTTAGTAAAGTTCATGCAGCAGAGTTTCTCAACCTAAGAAATTAATTATGTACCAGAGGTCCCTGACCTTTTTTGTTCCAAGGTCAGCCAGTACCCCCCGTTACTACAGATCGGTAGGAAGGGTGCTGAGCATTGAAAGTTCATTACATTTTCAAGATAAAACTTCTCTCAGACTCTATTCTGGTTGTATCAGTCTGAATGACCTATTCTTTTAAAATACTGCTAGAATATCTTTGAATAAAGAAAGTAAATGGATATGACTGGATTTTCTTTGGATGAAGAAAATTAGTAAAAATGAAGTACATTTTTTCACTCGGTCCCACTGCGGATGACCTATGGACTGGTACTGGTCTGCGGACCAGGGGTTGGGCACCCAACCGGCCCTTCTAGCGGAACTGTATTCCTGATGTGGCCCCCGGTGAGAATGAGTCCGACACCCCTGATCCATGTTATGCTTTCTGCTCCCAGGTGCCAATCATCAAGCTGACAGACCAGGAAACCGAGGTGAAGGTGGACATCAGCTTCAACGTCGAGACTGGAGTCAAGGCAGCGAGTTTTATTAAAGACTACGTAAAGGTGAGGGGAAAAAAAAGAATGAAGCCAAAGCCAAAAAAAACGGGGGGGAAAAAACGCAACAAATCACACAGAACAGCAGCCTTTCATTATAGATTTGATGAATAAACCGCTGTGGACATTCTTTCCGCACTCTTTCAGGTAGTACGCATATTTACGCGTAGCGTACACAGATGAAGGCGGCCGGCAGGAAAATGTCATGTAGACATTTTCAAATTGCGAAGCGAACCACAAGAGAAGTCGCATAATTACCGTTTTCTAAATACAGCAGTAAAGAAAAATCCCTCTATGAATCAGAGCTGCCAGTATTTTACGGCATCCCTACTTTACTTGAGTCCAGTCGCTGCTCCTCTCTAAAATAAACTTGAAACAGAAGCCAGTGTCCAGTCTTAGTATATTCTGTTTGACTTTGTCTGCTCTCTGGGGAGAGAGAGAAGAGAATACCTACTAGAGGTGAGTCTCTGCTCCATTTAGTCACGCCAGTTAGCGGTAATTGCTAATGCAAGAGTGGAAATTCCAGCTACTAATATTGTTTCTGTGTGTTAGGGCCAAGGTCTCGCCTTTTGTTGCTTTTTCATAGTTATGTAGTGGCTTCCCTGGACTGCAAGTCCCGGCTTGAAGGGCTGCAACTGTGCAACAACAAAATCAGATCTGGTATTAGATGATGAAGATAGAAAGGAAACAAGATGCAGGATGAAGAGAGAAAAAAAAATATATATATTTACGGGATTATTTATTTATTTTTTCGAAGTGTGTCAAGGGGAACTGCGGTAAGCACCGATCCCAGCGGCGAGCCTAACGCGTAAAACTAGGAACTACAAACAAAACCTGTGACAGAGCGGGCTGTTGCCTCTGTGTATTTTTCTTTCTCCCTAATGTTTTACAAATGTTACCGTTTGTCCTTTCGCACCTCTGCCGGGAAGCTGCAGTTGGATGTGTTTCACATCTGTGTTTATCTGTGACTCATCCAAATGACGGAGTTATTAAAACACACGCCCAAGTATAACTTTAAATTCAGGATATTATATAATATTGAGAGTATTAGTATTCAGTCCCTCACAACACATCTGACATTTGAGTCAGTCATCCTGTCGGCCGTAGACCTATTTGCTATTTAAGTTAAATACATTGTGCGTCATTTTGCGCATTTTAAATGTGTCAGAAAAAATTGCTAATCTCCCTAATTTGAAAAATAAACAGTGTAATTTTTGACAGCCTAAATGTTTAAATTTTATTATTTACTGTATTTAATGTCGAATATTCTTCAGTGCAGATTGCAGAGGAGAATAAGTCACAACAGTCAGTTAGAGTGCCCTCTAGTGGCTGTCAGTGTGAAAGTAACGAACATGTCTATTTTCAGCTGTACAGGAGTAGCAGATACTGGTACATAAGCCTAGAGTGCCCTCTAGTGTGAAAATAACAAACACGCAAAATTATATATTTTAATATATCACACCTGAATGTATGTCGCAAACCCAGCCAAAGGATGAAAAAAAAGTGCAACTTATAGTCCGGCAAAATACGGTACTCTTTTAATGTTGTATTAGCTAAATTTTGAACTTGTGTTTTGCTAGCTGTAATTCACATTTCCTACCTGATTTCCTTTTGCTCGTAATTTACAGACTTCTTCTTTATGTGATGCAAATTGTGTTTTTTTTTTTTTTTGTCTGATTTCCTAACGAGCCCTTTCTATATGTCCTCTCCATGATGTAGAAGTATCCCATGCTGCCTTATCTGATATTCGTCCTGAAGCAGTTTCTGCTGCAGAGAGATCTAAATGAAGTCTTCACCGGGGGCATCAGCTCTTACAGCCTCATTCTCATGGTCATCAGCTTCCTGCAGGTACCGACTTTGCGCAGCCTTTCCTCAATAAAAACCCGAGAAAAGAGCGAGTGTTAACGCTCGCTGTTGTTTACAGACAGAAATTAAAATAGCGGGCTAATGTTTACGATACACACGCTCACAAAATCTGCCTGTGTTTTCTTCACAGCTCCATCCTCGCATCGATGCCAGGAATCCTACTGAGAACTTGGGCGTGCTGCTGATCGAGTTCTTTGAGTTGTACGGCCGCCATTTTAACTACTTGAAAACAGGCATTCGCATTAAAAATGGAGGCGCATACATTCCTAAGGAAGAGATCATGAAGTCCATGACAAATGGATACAGACCATCCATGCTCTGCATAGAAGACCCTCTTCTCCCAGGTGTGTTTTACCACTTGTTGGACGAAGAACTGCTCATATGTGATGGGGAAAGAGGATTTAAAGCAACGTTTTAACTTTTTTTTTTTTGTTAGATTTAAATTAAAAATGAGAAAAGCAACTTAGTATTTTTGTTTTGGCGCCATCCAGTGGTGACGGCAACAATAACAGGTAAAACGTTTGAGTGTGGAATCAGGAAAATAATAAAATTAGATGGTTCGATTTTCTATCACAGGGGTCACCTACTTTATTTGATGGAGTGCCAGAATTTTTCTGAACACTTTTGGGGCCGGATACTCAAATAAGATGAAATAAAAATTGAATTATTGTCTAGCTTTATTTTTTGGCATTTATTTTGAAATCCAATTATGGGTTTGTTCGGTGAGCCAGTTTTGGTCCGCAGGCCGCCAGTTGATTCTATGAAAACGACAAACTTTCAGAATTGAGAATATTCCAGAAAAGTGAATTTTAGATTTTTTTTTTTCTTTTCCAGGAAACGACGTTGGCAGAGGCTCATACGGCGCCATGCACGTCAAGCAGGTGTTCGACTACGCCTACATCGTCCTGAGTCACGCGGTCTCGCCGCTCGCTCGCTCGTATCCCAACAAAGACTGTGAAAGGTGAGATTCCAATCCGACGCGGAGAAGCAGCGCCGACTCCGGTTTACCTTCATTGACCCATTTCCTCGCTTATTCCCACAGCACCTTGGGCAGAATTATCAGGTTAACCCAGGAGGTGATCGACTACAGAGAATGGATCATTAAGAAGTGGGGCTGCAGGGACCTGGCACGAACAGACAACACGGGTACCATTTTTCATTCTTGAAAAGAACTAGGATAACATCTCGAAGCTCAAGGCTGCTAACACTTTTTTGTTCACCGGAAGAGAAAGTCAAATAAGGATATAAACAGTGGGCTTTGATCCCTAACTCTTTTTGACGAGAGACAACCTTTGTGCTCAACGTTTTTTGTTCTATGTACCCACATGATCTATATCTATTTCTAAAACTTTTTTTTGTTTTTTTTTGTTGTGTGTGTAGCGTCACCGCCAAAGGGGCCAGTGTCAGAGCAGGAGACCAACTGCGTGCTGGGCAGCAGCAGCAGCAGCATCGGGTCAGAGGAGCAGCACAGGGACTCCATATCGCCTCACAGTGCCGATTCTCCCATGTCCATCTCCAGTCCGCAGCAGCACTCGTCAGCCTCCTCGGTGTCTTCCCTTTCTGGATCAGACAATGTACGAAAATTAGCTGATTGTGTTTTTTGTTTTTTTTTCTGACAAGAAACACAACATTTGAACAAACACCTTGCTCATCCTTCTTTTCTCTTTATTGTGACCTGCCAGGACTCTGATTCAGCGTTACCGTGTCACGTTCCTCCGCCCGCCCTGCCACCGTACCCCTCTTTTCCACCGCTGGGCCTAACTCTGCCACCGGGCCTCAACATGGGCACCTGTAAACCTGGCTTGACGGGACATCATCTGCTCATGCCTCCGGGCACACAGGTGAGAGCGCAGCCGCAACAGCTGGGCTAGTACATGACAAAGATCCTTTAGACGAAGGTAGAAAACAACCGGTGAGAAATTAAATTGGTCTTATGTGCAATAATGTATATAAGGCTTTAAGCAACAATTTGGAGAGATTTGGTTCTGTCATTTTAATCAGCAACCAATGCTAGGTAGGTTGTTTTGCACTGTGCTAGCATACAGCAACTCTTAGCTAGTGCTAACGTTTTGAAGACAAGTCCGACCAATACTGAATATATATATATATACATATATAGAGATCTGTGAATATATATATTTATGTGCTTATATATGTATATGTATTTATATATGTATTTATATATGTGTATATATGTATGTGTATATATATATGTATGTATATGTATATAAATACATATAAATGTTCAAGTAGATTCAAATTTACTTAAGGTGAATTTTCCATAGATTTGCACACATGTAGTTTTATAAATCACTTTATATTCACCACCACTATGAACTCATATCCATAAACAAGGCCCTAGGACAGTGAAGGTCGATGTTGTTTTTCTAATGTTTGTGAATCTTTTCTCTCTTTTTCCCTCCTTCAGGCTTGTGTCTCACTACCCTGTGGTCTTGCCATGCACTCTATACCTGGCAGACAGGTGTGTATAGACACCAGGCCCCCCACCTTCTTCCACATGCCCCCCACAGCTCATGCTCATGCCCCTGTCCCCTCCAGCCCCCAGCCTCTGCCCAGCCCCTACTCCAGCCACACACACAAGGTAGGCGCAGGAACTCGCACGGCAACACTCAAATGCACCGTCAAGGCAGACCTGTCTACACACAGACACACTCACTCATTTTCCATCCCATGTTTCTGTCTTCATTTTGTTGATGATTTGTATGATTTCCTTGTCACATGATCACTTACCTTTTTCCCCCCTGAAAAAAAATCATAAAATCGGCCATCTTGGAAACCTACTGGATCCATGAAAAAAGTTAATGTTGTTTAATGACCAATCATGAACATGGTTATAAGTCAGTAGAGCTAAATGTTTTTTTCCATATCTGTCATTGTGAAAATTTGATTAAAATTGCACAGCCCTCATATCTTTTAGTGGGAACACAACTTTTAAGTTTTTTTTCTCTCTCTCTCTCTCTCTCTGTGTCTCTCTCTGTCTCTTCTCCCCCAACTTCAGAATGCAACCAAGTTCAATGTGAAGGGCTTCCACAACCCACCACCAGTCAGCAACCCTGTTCTGGCGAACCGTGGACACAATCACATGCACACGCAGTACCACCGGAACACGTGGAGACGCAGGAAGAGGGACAGCTTACCTGTTAGTCTCAGCAGATAAAAACCACTTCAGTCTGGGTTACGTCCCCGCCTCCCTGCCTCCTTCTCTCCCTCCCTCCCTCCTCTGTAGCTGTCAACCCTGGTCCCTCATTGGTCCTGACCGTGGGACGGACAGAGAACCAGAGACCAGCAAGTCTGTCCAAGGGCGGCTGCCGCCACAATATGGAACTCCAGCCCTCAGCGGTGCATCCTCCTCTTCCTTCAGCTACTTTTTCATTTCTGCATGACCCTTTGTTCACAAACGTCTCGGTTCAGTACTTTTGTACTTCCAGTATTTCTTTTCTTTTTTTTTTTTTTTTTTTCAGTATTCTGATATTACTCTCTTCGCTCTTTCGTTTTGGACTTGGTGGTTACCTCATTGCCAACTCCACGTAAACGTTACCTTGACCCCTTACAGCCAAGCTGCCTGAGGTTCAGTGTTACATTTTTTTTTTTTAACGGTTTATACACTTAGGAACAAACATTGTGTTTTTTTTTGTTGTTTTTTTTTTTGTGTGTGCAATAACGGTATTTTTGGGGATGGGTGGGCGGGCGAGGGTGGGGGACTAAAACAAATGCTTATTTAATTTTTTATGGTGTGTGTGTGTGTGTGCGTGAGACTGTGGTAATGCGCGTGCGACCGTGTAATTTTTTATACTGTTATTTTATTTTTGTAGAGTTTTAAAAAATGTTTTGTTTACAAAACTTTGGCCAGGCAGCCTCTCCGGTGTGAGCGTCCGTGTTTGCGTGTGTGTTTATGTTCTTTCTGAAGAGAACTATAAACGGCGCGGCGAGCTTCTACCTTCGACGCTCCCGCCAGTTTTCCTCAGTAAAAAAAAAAAAGGACGAGGTTAACTCTTTGGTCCCTCCGTGGGGAGCGTGAAGGTAGGAAGTTTCCCTCCATCGTGATCGATAGTGGAGGACGTTTGTCTCGGTGTTAGGACATTATCAGCTCCACACGTACGGTCTGCGCGTCTCTGGGGAGCCGCGTTTTATGTACGTGCGTCCGGGTAGGCTAACGGTGGCCTTTTTGTTTTGTGTTTTTTATTATTGTCTCCGTTGGAGGTCATTTCAAAGGAAAACATTTTGAAGAAAAATAAAGTTAAAAAAAAAAAAAAAAAAATTCTATACCTTATGTTGATATGTAGAGAGGGGCTGCGGCTAATGAAGCATCAGCCTGTCTGACTCCAGTTTCGATCGAAACTAAGGAAAAAGAGGGGAAACGCAACGGGTTCCGGGGTCAGACGACTCCGACTCGAAGACTGATCAGGGTCGACTGTCGCCCAAAGGTGTCAATCAGTGAAGATCGACAGCACGCTGCTTAGCAATATGGTTTCTCCTTGTGTTGGACTTAAAAAAAAAAAAAAGGAGGAGGGAGGGAGAGGAAAAGTGGTGTCTTCCTGACCTCAGTTGAATGGGCAGTGGTGGCTTAGTGGTTGAGGAAGCGGACTTGGGTCCGGAAGGGGTTCGAGTCCAACAGCTGCCAAGTTACCACTGAGGTGCTCTGAGCATGTCACCGTCACCCTCACACTGCTTCCTGGGCAGCTGAAAGCTGCCCCACTGTTCACTATGGTGATGGGTTAAAAACAGAGGTCACATATCGTTGTCTGCAGTGGTTTGTTCACCTTCCTTTTCCTTCCTTCCTTTAAATGGGGGAAAAAAAAAAAAGTTCAATTCCATTCAGGAATCTTGTGTATTTTTGATTGCCAGGTACCTCCGCGAAATAGTTTGCAATGCCTTTCTTTGTGTTTACATGGAAGCGTGTGTGTGCGTGTGTACGTTGTATTCCGTGAGCACACCTCGTCACACACGCGCGCGCACGCACACACGGACGGAGCTGTCAGAAGGCCGTGACTCGCCTAGAACACTACACATGCCGGTGTCGTTACTATGCAAGTGAATTACTCTAATTATCGTGTCAAGCCCTCCCGTCTTTGGGGTTATTTTCGGAATCAAACGCACTTGTCCTCGGCGTTGTCGCTGACTCTCGAACCCCCACTCGTTTAAAAAAAAAAATGAAAAAAAAAAAAAAACACAGCCCCATATCAGACAACTCCTTGTATTTGAAAGATGTGTTGAAAAAAATTTTTTTTTTTTTTTTTTAACATTTGTCTCAAATGTAAGAAACGGCTCCGTCGATGTTGACGGACGGGTCGGCCTCAGTGTAACAGTGTGACGTAGTGATCCGTATGTAGGAGCGTTTGAAAAACGAATGACACCACTGGGGTTTTTCCAGGTGGACAAATGGGTTATGGGGGAGAGCGACTTGCCCTCCACAGGCGTGATTCAGACGGGACCAAAAGTGTCCAGGAGCAATTCTTTGTTCTTTTTTTTTAAATTCCAGACTCTGTTCAATAACGCTACATCCTGTTTATCTTCCTTCCTTCCTTCCGTTTTTTTTTTTTTTTGCTACGGCAACTCTGATCCATCGAACAAAAACCTCACCAGGCGGTAGTTGAGTGTCATATGATCAGACACTAGTTTGGACCAGTGACTTAAAAGACGCGAGCGGAAATGAAAGGATCGCCACCTCTGACTAGGGAGAAGTTTCACCCTAATTTTTAAATACATCCCCCTAAAAAAAAAAAAAAGAGAGAGATCATGGACAGACTTCCATAAAAGACCAGTCCAGTAATGCAATCATACTCTTGTCTTCCCTAGATGTTTTACGTCCAATTGATTATTGACGTCTATGTGGTAGCATTTCAAGTGCTTATCTCTATTTTTAAGCTAATATAGTTAGTAGGCTGGATGATGCGGCCCAAACTTTTTTAACCAGTGTGTAATCCCTCTGCATTTTAAAGATGAGAACCAGCATTTATGAGAAGCTGATGATAGCATTGGTGACGGGACTGTTCTTGGGTTAGAGTTGCCTGGAGTTTCATAGCAAGAGACATGCAGTATCTTTTAAAAAAAAAAAAATCCAAAAAAAAAAATCTGAGTGCATCTCAGTGGTCCATCGTGGCCCTCCGTCTTCTCTTTACCAGATCGGTGTCAAAGAGAGGCCCGCGATCCGGTCCACTGCGATCTTCACTTACACATATACACATAGTGCAATGTAGAGTCACCCATTGCAATAAATAAGGGATTTTAAACTGGCGGCTGCTGTTAAGAGCAAAGTGGCGGCCCCTCTTTGTCCTGGCTGATTTCAGTGAGCAGTAGAATTGATGCCTCACGGTTCGTAGCCAGAGGGACCCACTGCCCAGCTATTTTTTTTTTTTCGTTTGTTTGTTTTTGACATTTTTATGTAAATATATTTTTTTCTATTTTATTTTTTAATAAAGATTTTAAAACTGGCATTCAACTTGTGTTTCATTTAATCTGACTTCCTTACCATTCAGGACAGAGGGCAAAATATTACAAAATACGTGAATGAAAAGTGATGAAGATCTTTTCACCAAAACCTCAACAACATCTTGTCGTGAGATGTTAGTCTTCATCATTCTAAGTGTTCCTTAGTTGTCGTGCAGTTCTCCTAATGTACACCAGGTGGTGCAAAGACATCGTGGTTTCACTGGTTTGACTGCATGAGGCGCTCTCAGTCCCTCTTCATTAAAGGCCTCAGATAGATGGATACAGCAGATAGATTAGGTATTATTGCCACCCTGTATTACATATGTTATATATGTACATATATTTAATATATGTACGTATATGTAATATATGTACATATATACACGTACTATACATATATACACATATATGTATGCATACATACATATATATAAATATATAAATAATGTATGTATGCATATATATGCCTGTCTTTTAGCGATAGCCTAAATTGGCTAAATTAGGTTTATCTACAGTTTATCATTAAAAATCAATATGGACCCTGCAAAACTTCAATATTTTCTGTGTTGTTTTCAATGTTTCCAATAGGTTTGACTGAAGGTACAAACCATCAATAGACAATGTCAATAACGAGACCTTACTGTTAATGTTGTCCACATCTGAATCAGATACGGACCTTTTGTGCGCCATCGTTATTTCTTTTCGTTAGCCTCGTAGCATAATCGTGGTGGTCATACTGTGGCCTAATTAATGTCACATAAATACCAGAAATGATTTTTTTTTTCTTCTTGTTCTGGGTGACGTCTCAGTGGTGTCATCTGGATGATGACTGCCGGGGTTGCGTGTTAGATCTTTTACCAGGAAAGATCCATCATCACTGACGACCACTGAGGTTCATCTGGACTCCAGTATCATTTTATTGACCCTCAAAGCTTAATTAGCACAGATGCTACTCCACTAACCGACCACAGCATTCTAACTCCATATAAAAGCAACAGTTTCCCAGCAGACAGGTTCTATTTCCGCCGCTAGGAGTCGAACTCTGACCTAAGTGTTTCAGTTCCCGTCTTGTTTGTTTTTATTTCTTCCTAAGTCTGACTACAGATGAGAGACGATGGTGCGGGCCGGTGTTTACACACCTTCAATCAAGATCACTGATCGATCACTACCCACTGCTCCTGAAAGGCCTGGTAACAATCTCCAAACGACACCAATCACCCGCCATTATAAGTGATTCGTTAGCCAGCCACCGTTGATTGCCAGTTATATTTATCTCTTCAATAAGGAATTCTGGTCCAGAGATTCCATACGGAGCTGACCAAGCTTGAGGAGGCTCCACGGCGGGGGATTGATCTCTCTCTCTCTCTCTCCCTCTCTCCCCCTGTTTATTTCACTAATGAGGTCGTTTATAAGCTGTCTTACGGGAAACTGCGAACCCGGTCGTTTACCCTTTTTTAAGCCCTTAATTTGTTTTCAGCATCATTCTGATTCCAGGAACTGGAAAACACTCTCCGTCAACCATTGAAGTCTACATTTTCCAGAAAAAGATGAACCGCCTCTCTGAAATATATTATTATTATTATTAGCATCATTGGTGTCACCCCGAGAACTTGGCACATGTTGCAAAAAAAGAAACTGCACCTTGACTGAGGGTTTCCATGTGGGCTCTCCTGAAATATCTTTTAAGAGCTAACCCACACAGACTACTGTCATTTCCACTGCTTGAGTTTTAAGACACGGTTAATTATAGCTTCACGTTTCTATTTATTTCCAGGGTTTTTTTTTTTTTCAACTTGGCTGATGTTTGCTGTACAGCAGAGGTGTCAAACTCCCCTTGAAGGGCCGGTTGTAACTGTAAGACTGTATAGATGTACAGTATCCACTCTATTACTCCATAACGTATTAATCTATGTTTCTGCAATTGATTATTATTTATTCATGTTATAAATATTGTTGATTGCTGTCTAATAATAATAATATAAAAAACCCTACGGGCCATACAAAATGACTCGGCGTGCCACATATGGCCCCCCGGGCCTTGAGTTTGACACGTGGTGTACAGTATGCTCGGAGTAGATACAGTATTTCCAAAGAGACAGCTTGTGTTTGGCCCTCGTCTGTAGTGACGCCGTGTCTTCATCTGCATGTAGGAACAGCGGCTGATGCAAAAAAATGTGTGTGTGTGTGTGTGTGCTAAGGGCACGCTTCCTCAGCGTGCTCCCATTCTGTCACCGCCTTTCACACACTGAGTGTGTGTGTTGTGTTGGTTAGCACCAGGTGGTCCACACCTGTTGATAATACCATGGAGTATGGGAACTTTTATAGAACACTATTTATAGCCGAAATCATGTGTATGTGGGGGTGGGAGGGTACAGTAGGTGGACAGTAGGTTGATAAAAACAGGCTTCTGTGAATTAATTTAACTTGTTTATTAGCGTCCACAGCATCCGTCTCCTCCTTTCACGGTCTACAGCCCCCACTTTGCACAGCGTTAGTTCCACAGTGCACATGTCTGTATGTAACATGTAACGTGTGAGTAAGTGAGAGGGAATCCCCTGAACAACATCATCAAACATTAAACAACTTTTTTTTTTTTTTTTATGATGACATGCGTGTCAACAGATAGATATATAATTCTGATTAATCACAGGGGGAAAATCCAGTAGTCCATTTATTTTATTTTATTTTTTTTTATTTCAAAACTTAGTTGCCTGAGCCATATTGACAGGAAAAAGCACAGGAGCTGCAGGGAAACATAAACATAACGGAGCCATCACTGATTGGCTGATTGTTTGCACCTGTGCTCTTCTCACAGTGAAGACTGTTTGTCAGAAATGAAACCCCTGCCACTTGTTTTCACTACAAAACTAATTATTTGTTGTTTTTTTTCCTAATCTAAGTCTGTTTAAATGTAGAATGTGTGACATTTTGTTCATTTTTGAGGCAGAGCACAGCAAGACTGACTGAGGTGACATACAACGGACTGAGCTGTGAGTATTAACCTAGCCTAGCCTAGCCTAGCCTAGCCACAGTACACCACTAACACAAAGGGTTATTTGTCCTTTCTAAATGTGTATTAACACTTTTTTTTTCAATATTTTTTAACATGAACTTATTAACATACTTTTTATTGCTCTGGAAAATATTAACTGACAAATTAATTTGGGCTAGAAGCTATTTTTAATGTTAAGTTTTTCATGAAGCTATTCTACTTTTCCATTTCCTCTATGCCTTTTTCCATATCATTTTGTAGATATTCAGAGACAAGGCAGCTTGTTTTCACTACAAAACTAATTATTTGTTGTTTTTTTTTTATCTTAGTCCGTTTAAATGTAGAATGTGTGACATTTTGTTCATTTTTGAGACAAGCAAGACTTGCAGCAATGCTGAGGTGACATACAACGGACTGAGCTGTGAGTATTAGTATTAGCCTAGCCACCGCACAGTACACCGCTAACACAAGAGGTTATTTGTCATTTCTAAATATGTATTAACATTTTTTTTTTTACAATATTTTTTAACATGAACTTATTAACAGACTTTTTATTGCTCTGTAAAATATTAACTGACAAATTAATTTGAGCTAGAAGCTATTTTTAATGTTATGTTTTTTATGAAGCTATTCTGCATTTCCATTTCCTCTACGCCCTTTTCCATATCATTTTGTAGGTATTCAGAGACAAGGCAGCACAGCCCACTTGACAAGCAGCTGAAGCCAATTCAGTGGTCTACAACCCATTTTCCTCTTGACCTTTGTGTAGTGCTTGTGCAAAGGCTGAGGACGACGCTGCTCACTATTAGCACTTAGCAGCAACATCATCATTGTTCCTACCTTCTCCCTGTAAAAAAACAAAAACCAATAAACATTGGCGCCATTTTCAGAGCAGCTGAGGACAAAACAAAAACCCAACATGCTTGTAATTAAGTATAATTAGTGTGGTTTTTTGTATTAGTAATAATAGTTACTGTAAGTTGCTGGGCTTGTTTTGAGACTTAATCTATTTTTATGTTAATTCCTACATTATTGAATGGAAGCTTCAGTTTCATGGTTTTTTTTATATTAAGAGATTTGCCATGTTTCAAAGTCAGTATAAAAGTATATTTTATTTAAATAGTACGTTTAGCAGAAAAAAACATTAGAAACTATATATGTAAAAATACATAAATACTATAACATATATAAAAAAGCAAGTAAAAGTAAGGATAACATGAAAGGGTACATTAAAAAACCCTGATTTAAAATATTTTAACACAATATAATAAATAATAGTGAAATATACAATAAAACTAATTAATTGAAAACTACTTGATGATGATGCCATGTAGAGATGATGTAATTTGATGATGTAAATGATGAAAAAAATGTTGCTTTCATGTAAAAAGAATGCACTGATATTTATATGTAAATCTAAAAAAAAGTAAGAAATATTTCAGATATTAGGTGGAAACAGAAGGTGTAGCTTTTCAGTAAAATATCCTTCACTTTATGTCTTGTCCCCAGTAGCTAAAATTCAAATAATTAAAATTGTGTAGCTGGAAGCTAATCAATAATTGAGTCCATTATTCATCCCACAATAGGGAAGTTCACAGTTAGTCTTTGCAAGTGACACAGGCTACCACAGGAGGCGCCATTAGGGATATATAGTTCCTCTGAGGCTCAAACCAAGGACCCTCTGTGTGTAAGGCAGACAAACTAACCCCTACTCGATGGTGCTGCCAAAAAAAAAGGAAACTAAAACAACAGATAGATTCAAAATTCTAGTTTGATTTCTCGTTGGTTCCACAGTGTAGCGGTTAGCATGTCTGTCTCGGAAGCAAAGCCTATAGGGTTCTGGGTTTGATTCCCAGAGGAGCCACATGCATTGTGCCTGCAGGGTGTAGGTGCTGTTAACACATGAATTTCCCAAATATTGGATCAATATAGTTTAATTTCTTTCCTTTTTTAAACTGTCAAGTCCATTGAGATAAATCTGTGAATTTGGTCTTTACAGAAAAAAAAACTGACTTCACTCAATAAATAAAGAAAACATTGAAACATATGAAACAGTTGTTCCGTGCATACATCTTAAGCGCATAAATTACAAAGGCTTAAATGTTCCTAGATCTTATGATTACAGTGTGAAACAAAGAAAACGTTCAAATCGTGCAAATCATGTCATGTTTTACTTACACATAATTCGCTCGTGTTGTTTACGCTTGCTGTCACGCCCGGGCGAAAATGAGTTATTTAGTAGAGTTAGTGAACAATGACAATGAGGTTTTCTTTCCAACCGCAGACAACATTATTACTTGACGGTAATTCGTGGAGAAATTCCCAGCTGTTCCCGTCGTAATCAATTTTCCCACTTTACATTACAAGCTGCTCTTCAGAAATCTCTGTTTCCATCTTTAATCACATGAACGGCCCTGGAGTAGCATTGTCCTCTGACCTCTGCTACTTCTGCCTGTTTGCCTGGACTCTCACACAATCAGTCTTATAAAAAAAATTACCAATGCAGTATCGATCAACGTGAGGATTAATTGCGAATTGTTCCCAGAGGAAGTAGCAATTTTTCAAAATAAAAAACATCCAGAAGACTAATAAAAATAAAATGCATGTCCCTGCACCGCTTGCATATAGGATGAAAAGTAGTTTGTGTAAGAACTAGCGGCGTGCTAAAGCTACTTTGTAAACCGAAGCAACGAATGTGTTAACGTTTCAATTAGACTGACATGAATTTCTACACAATTCCACAGGATAAAGGCTAAATCAGTGAAGGCACTCACTGATTACATCATCCAGTTACAAGTTGATGATATTTTTCTGTGTATATTTTTTCCATGTGTTTTACACCATTCCATGCGGTCCCCCGTCTCACTTCCCCTTTTTTTCCCCCTTTCGTGTCTCTCACGCAGGTCGACTCGGAGTAAGGGGAATTATGTGGCTCTGACACACTGAAGTGGCACGGCCATTTTCACACTTCACAGAGCATCACATGTACCGCGGCAGAGCAAGTGGGGGAGCCTCTGCGCAACAGCAGCCGAACTGAGGGGGGAGCGAGTTGAAGACGAGGAAGGAGCTGGGATTTTCGGTTCATCAGATCTCATTTTTCCTTCCACTGCACACACACACACACAAACACACACACACACACAGAGAGAGAGAGAGAGCCTAAAACTTTCACTAATTACCAGCTCTGTCTCCTCTCCCCTTTTGCTTTTGAAGAAGGCAGCAGTCCCTCTTCCTCCCACACTCACTTCGTCTCCTGAGGTTTTTTTTTTTTTCCTGACTTTGTTCCTTCTTCCTCTTCCTTCCTCTCCTGCCCTGTGTGTGTGTGTGTTGTCCCCCTCCCGCCCCCACCTCTATCTTCTTTTTATCTCGTCATCCGGTTCTTGGATGCCTTTAAATGCTCCTTCCTTTCATGCTTGTCTCCTGTTCTCGGTGTTTTGCACGGCTCTGCTAACCTTCTCTGTTATTAACTTTTGCTGGGCTTTAACCGCACAGGAACTCTCTGAATGTAAAAACTGTAGTACTTTTATACTATAGTTTTGGAAAAATTCCATTCAGACCCTTAATGTTTTCCTTTGTTTTGAGGAGGGGCTACCTCCACGTTAGCTACTTCTCTACATCACTATTCTTTTTTTTTCTTTTTTTTTTTGTTTGTTTGTTTCCAATTAATAAAACACACACACACACACTCTGACACTGATTGATACACACCCTTTTCCCTCCCTCTGGACTTCCTCTCTCTCTCTCTCTCTCTCTCCCTCGCTCTCTCTCTCTCCTCCCTCCCCATTTCTCTGCACTCCAGTACAATAACATGTTGGCCGCTCGCAGCTACAGAGCCAGGCAGTAAGCAGAGGCTGCCTGCTCTCTGTCCGACTGACAACACAGAAAGAGAAGCAAGAGAAGAGGGGGGGAGAGAGAGAGAGAGAGAGAGAAGAAGAACCGGAGTCTCTTCTCTTCTCGTCAGTGTGAGGAAAAAGGCAGAAGGGGGGAAGGATGGTTATATTTACCACTGTCTTTGCTCAGTTTGACAGAAAATCCAAGGAGAGCAGCAGAGGATGCGAAGAAGATTGTGCCGAGATGAAAAGTTGACTCCCTTCCAATCAGCTCTCAATCTATCAGTGCTCAACCAAACTTTTTTTTTTTTTTTTTTTTTTTAATATAGACAGGGCTGAAAAAGCAGGAGCTGAGGTGGAATACTAAATGACAGACGGAAGAGGAAAAAAGCGTCCCTCACGCCGGACCTGACTTTGAGCACTTATCGTGGTCAGTTCATATCGGTGCCAACCATCAAGAGGCAGCTACCCATGTGGCAGGAAGCTTTGTGGACACGCGGACGCTACCTGCTGGAGAAGAGCGATGGGGGCGAAGGCGCAGAGGGTCCCGAGGGCCTCGGGGACGGGCTCTCGGGGTTCCAGAGCGACGTGTGCGTGGAGGGCGAGAAGCTCCAGGACTGGCTGTACGAGTCCTACTACAGAATGAGCCAGCAGCATCCGCTGATCGTGTTCCTGCTGCTGATCGTCATGGGAACCTGCCTTGCGCTTCTCGCAGTGTTCTTCGCTTCAGGACTGGTGAGTAAGACTAAGAGTCTCATAATGATGTGATGCAGATTCCTTCTCGCGCCCAGAAGAAGCACTTCAGAAAAAAAAAAAATGTCACACAACAGTTTTAGGAGACAGAAACTGTTGTCATGTCCGATGTTAAAAATAGCACTAAGATGAAAATAAATAAATAAACATTTTGAAGGGCTACAGCGATGGAATCTCGAGTGTTGCAGCATCACAGGCAAAGGAATTTGAAACATTTGATACTTGAAATATACAAGAAATTATGAAAAAAAAACTGTTTTCTCTCTCATATATTTCATAATATATGATTTATAGTTTCCCGGCCAATAAGTTCAGTTTTCCTACATATTTTGTCACATATACTAAAGTCCCAACTTACGGTGAGAATTCAAGTTACATCAATCTGTACGATTGGAACTGTAAGTCCTGTAACCCCTGTATGCTGTTAGAGGTCAGCGACCTCTGTCCTTATGAAGAAGAGCATCCGTGATTTAAATCAGACAGAACAATCAGAGCGTGATGTCATAGAAGTCCATTGTGGTCAGAGCGACGCAGAGACCGCCTTCCTGTCCACTATCCCAGTTTTGATTACACCCGGTACTCCTGCTGCGGCGACCCTGATGGAGGGACCAGCTGAGAGTGATAGTTCATTGTGAGCGCAGTCCAACATCCATTCACATACTGATTGCCCGTGGTGCAATTGTCCAGGTTCACAATGCAGTGGTTTTGCTTTCAATTACCAATAATGTGGTATTTTAGTCCCCCATATGACCCCTGGTACAACATCAGTGACCGTCGGTCATTAAACCAATGTCCCTCTTACTGTAGGTATTCCTAATAAAAGTTGAAGCTAAGGCGTGAAACTGACTGGATTGTTCTGCATCGTTTTGGCATCAGGAGCGATTACGGTGAGATGCCAGAGAAGATCCTTGGGAAGCATTCTTTGAAAAAGAAGGTGTGAAGTCCTATTTGTGGTAGATTGGTGTTACATTCATTCAGACTGTTTGACGCTTAATCACAAATAAAAAGGCGATTTAGAGATTAAGCCAAACATGTATATAGAAGTTGAAATCCGTGTCTGTTGTTAAGCTTCGGAGACGCTCCGAGTCCAGGACGTTTTCTCTGGTCGGAAGTTTAACTGACGGTTAAGCTTCGGAGACGCTCCGAGTCCACGACGTTTTCTCTGGACGGAACTGACAGCTAGACAACAATGGCAGCAGCTTTCTTTGTTTCCCATTGTTGTTGTTTAGTTTTTGCCCCTGCTGCAGATTCAGTTCTGAGATGTTATTCTCTAGAAGGTTAGCCTGTATTGACACTATATATTCATATATATATTTGTAATTAAAAGTGCTGGAAGAAGATTATTGTCTTATATAAATGCGAAATTGCTCAAAACTTTTCCTACAACGGGAGTAAAATGTAGCTTTGCAGACCAGTGACGGCCTGTTGAAAATGACATGTCGGAGTAAACTGGTAATCACAGCCGGCAGCTGAATTTATGGTTGTGCTTAATTGGGGGGTGCTGCACTCTTCTAACAGTGTTGTGACAGCACATGTTTGATTTCCTATTTCAACATAAATCATAAACCAAATTGAAATTTAAAAGTTATCCCTTGCGTTTATTCGTAAATAATCATAAATTGTACTTCACAACATGAGAACTTTTTTTTTTTTAAAGCAGACGGCAGCTTCACAAGTGCTCTGATCGTTCATCGGAAATAAGTTGGGGAGTACATCGGTGCTTTCGAGCCACGCCGCATCCATTAGAAAAAACCAAACTAAAACACGATGCTGATATACTAGCAGGAATTGAAGAAAGACACACGAAATTTTTCTTTTGCTGCAAATAAATGATAGTTCTCAAACTAATTACATGAAAATATTTTTTTTTATATTCAATCATTTTTAAATTGTTCTTGTTTTTTTTCCCTTTTATGTTTATAGTTTAGTCACAGTCCCCAGTGTGAAGGAAAACTGTTTTTTTTTTTTTTTTTTTTTTTATTAGATTATGTAAAGAGGAGAAGTGTCACAATCGAAGGGTTTGGGGTTTTGCACAGGAGTGAATGAAAGTGAACGAGGGAGGCAAAAGTGCATGTGCGTGATTACATGTGACCACACAAGAGGCTGTGAAGCAGCACTTTAAATTGCAGCACAGGGTGTGCGGAGTGGATCAAGAGCGGGACAGTTGGTTATTTTTCAGTGCTGCGTGGGCGTTTGTCAAGTTAAAATTGTTGTTTTGGCCACGAAACTCTCAAACACAAACACAAGCCATTGTTTCTCTAGTGCTGCTTTTGTGCTTTTTTTTTGTTTGTTTTTTTTTCACGAAATAGTGCGACAAAAGAACGCACACTCCCCGCTTCAGGACAATGTATATATATATTTTTTTTTTTACTTTTAAGATTAAGTGGTGAATTTGGGGTAGAGTTTGGAGTTAGATTAGAAAATATGTGAAATGCTTGCAAAACATAAAAACCAGTGCGTGTTTTCTGTGTGCGTGAGCGTGTGTGTTTGTGTGTAACGGGTCCTCAAAGCTGTGCCTGCAGGCTATTGTCTTTCTCGTCCTGTTATATTAAATTGAACACCATCAGGGTCATTCTCTGGAGAACCTTGACCTAAATCGATCTCCTACTTACGTTTGAAGCAGATCAATTAATGTCGTTACTCCAGGTGGCTTTGCTTTGATTCTGAGAACAACTCTCCCCGGTGTTGCTGCGGACTCTACAGCACGTATGCTATTTGTGGCTTTAGATTAATGATCTTTTAACTCCAGTGTACTCACAATGTGAAACTGTGGCCTGTTTAGTTGAACACGGCCCAGACATACTCACAGGAATTGAAGAGACACACACAAAGATCTCCTTTAACATCTCTGGTTTAGTGAGTCTTTTTATAGCCAACTGCTGCCACCTAGTGGAAGAGTATTCATTTGTCGTTTTATTTTTTTCACAAATTTGATCCATTTCGCCGTTGTACGTTGTTCTTCGCATTTGAGTTTGACACACGTTTTTACACTGCACCCCTGACGATGTCTCACACTTTTTTTCACAAATTTGATCCATTTCGCCATTGTACGTTGTTAATCTGTAACGGTTCACAGTACCAGTTACCATTTCCCAGCCATTTGTTCCTGTTAAATAGCAGACTAATTTGACTTTTGTTTTTGAAGCGATTGTTCCGATGGGCGTCTACTTATTGCCGAAATAGAAGAATGCCATGAATAAATATAGGGTGAGTTTGGAACTTGGGCCTGTTCCATTGAGGGAGGGGAGGATGTTGTTGTAAGGGTTCTGGTTTTATCAGTGCACTGACAGAAACTCAACCAAAGCTGTGCTAATGATCCCAAAATTACTGCACCCTTTATCTCAATCCGCAGATCGGGACCGGAGTGACTCGGTGTACAATTTTTCCAGACAAAGACTCCCACACCCATCGTGTAACAGTGTTAAGTCTATGTGTCTGGGTGTGTGCGGTACAGTTACGCTTGCATGCGCCTTTCTGGTTGTGATTTTCTGTGTTTTGGGCGTGTTTACCTGAGGAAGTAACCAATTTCCCCCCATAGACTTCTATGCATTTGAGCGAAAGATAACGCTCGATGTTGACGTTTCCTTGTTGCTTTGAAGTCTTGGTGATTAGCATGTTTGTGTGCAATTGTATAAGATGGCGGGTTGGGTTGGGTGTTTGATGCGTTCTACTTCAATTGTTGAGTTAAATCCAATCCACCAATAACGTCGCAGCATTCCAGTAGTTCTACAGAGATCGATATTACAGGGAACATTGGAAATCTATAGATGGCTAACATTATTTTTACATTGAGTCAATAATTTATGTTATAAGAATAGAATCTTTAACAAAGGCTCTGCAGAGGTGTAATCACCACGCTCTGTGCAGCGTTATCACATTTTATTTTATTAAAATAATGGTAATGTATTAAATTAGTGGGGTCGCCTGAAATTCAAATGGGGTCATCTGAAATGAGTAGTAATTCATAAAAATTAAAAAAAATAGTGAGAATTAAAAACACCACGCACAATCTTACAAAAATTATTTTTTTCATTTTTCCAAATATAAATTGAGTCAAATAAATAAAATAAAATATCTGAGCTGCTGCACCTTGATTGGCGGCTGCAATCACGTGACAGCTACTAAAATGTCTCTGGGGTCACCAGAAATTTGTGAAATGGAAATGGGGTCACAAGCCAAAAAAGGTTAGGGACCCATGTAGAATAAGTCAAGGAAGGACTGTTTATTTTTGAATGATTTGCATAACAAGTGTTGTTGAGTGCTGATAAAAATAGTTGCTACCAGTGTTGCCTCATCAGTGAGAATGAAAGAAAAAGGCACCAGAAAACAGTAAATGCACGGGCAAGTCGTGATTCGAAAACATACTTCTGGTCCGCCTCTCCCCTCTTCCACTCTCTCACTCCCTGACATCATGTTCTCGGCTGCATTTGTGTCATTTCACTTCTGCTCTTCTCGGCTGATGCTGTGTGCCTCCCTGTTCCAGCGTTTCCTCCCAGTATAACAGCTGAATAAGCCAGACTGGGTTAAAAAAAGGAAAATAATTGTTCTGTGTCACAATGCAGTACACCGTAGGAGGCGAGCGCAGCTCCCTCTCTGCGCAGTGTCAAAGGAAATGGGTTTAGAAGGTATAAAAGGTCTGTGAAAGAATTAGAAAACCTAAAATAACAAACAAGCTAGTGAGGTGTAGCTTCCTTTCTTAACTCTTAATCATGTAACTCGTTGGAAACAACGAGATGTCGTTAGCTAGCTGACACTCAACGTCCCAGTGAGTCGTTGGCTAGACTTATACCCCAAACTGCCAATGACAGCTCAGCTTGAGAAGTGAGATAAACCCCTAAATACACGCCCCCCGCCTCCCCCCCCACACACACACACACCTCCCTTCACACCCGCAACAGAAACAAATCATCAACAAATCAAAACACTTGCGCGATTGGTGCAAATATCAGATTGGCACCCCCAAGGTTAACGTGGTGTATTTACTTTGAAAAGCTAGCTTGGAGCTTTGTCGGCTCACTGTAAAGTACGTCCAGGCTAACGACATATTAGCCTCAGTTTGTCAGAGTGTGAGCTAACTCACATGTGCAAAATGATTGACGGCAAAACGAAGCTGATCAACGTTGGCCTTCACAGACAACGGAGTGCAGTACCACCATAGAGGGGCGATGTTTTACCCAACATTAAACTCTCGCGCAAAGGCACAGGGTTTTTTTTTTTTTAATTAAATGACGTTTCAAAGCCGCTCGTGTAAAACATGCGCGTGAGAGACACAAACTAATTTCTTTTTCCGCACCGACGTTCATTTTCCCGTTAAAGTGGTGACATCTATCTGGTACAGCAGCCTGCTAATTTAATGTCTACAGCTGCTGCACCTGTCAGCACCATCCCGACTGTGGAACACGGTGCAGCGCTTTACGTGGGTGCTCGGGTATAATCTGGTCTGTGGATGTAAGCGCTGTGTGTGAAGGCAGCTCGGCAGGTGATCATGATTCTTCCACTCTTCCATTATTTAACATGCACCAAAGAGGGCACAAATAGCTATGTAATTTTTTTTTTTTTATTTCTCGTTACTGCGTTCTATATTTAAGCCTCAGCTCAAGAAAAGGAGGAATGTTTTATATGACGAACATGAAACGCATACAGTGAAAAGACGGGTCTTGATAATGGGCCGGGGTTCGAAGTCAGTGTGTGGGCAGGAGTGTGAGGAACGAGACAGGCAAAGGTTCTCCAAGCAGGAGAACAGACAAAGCCAGGGTTTGACATGGCAGGTTTATTGTTAAAAACACAACACAAATACACAAACTTTAGCGTGACGTCGCAAACAGATACCAAAAAAAAAGCAACAGTGAAAAGGCATCTCAATCTGCTTGGGATGACTGGGATTTTTGCATAGTGATGAAGCATTCTGGCAGAAAATTTCCATTTAAAAAAATGTGCTCAGAACACGTGTTTTTCAACCTTAGGGTCAGGACTCCACATGGGGTCATGTGGTATTCAAATGGGGTCGTGATTGAAAAAGATATTACGGATAAAAATATTTGGTCAACCATTTTTTAGAAAAAAATGTTAAATTAAAAACACGACACAATCATAAACAACAACAGCTGTATTCGCACACAAACTGTGCGTTAAACAACGTAACAAATTTTAAAAACCTTAAGGTCAAAACATGCAACTACTGTATATGCAAATACATTCAATATCAGGACATCCTCAGGCACAGCTGTCAGGTTACCTGTCGTGTCAGTTATATTTGACATGCACCGCAGGCTCTGTTGTGTATTCTTCACTAGAACGGAGCGTCAAAAAAACATGGAACCACTAACAATGAGGCCCATACGATTTCCTTATTAATATTTTATGTTTTGTTTAAATGAAATCTCTCTCTCTCTCTTTCTCTCTCCAGAAAATAGAAGACCACCTGACCTTCCTGATTGCCGTGCCAGCAGCTCTCTTCCTCTTCCTGTCCATCTTCATTCTTGTCTGCATCGAGTCGGTCTTCAAGCGGATGCTCGGCCTCTTCTCTCTCCTCATATGGGCCTGTTTGGTCACCATGGGTTACCTGTTTATGTTCTCAGGAGGAATCCTCAGTCCGTGGGACCAGGTAGGTGCAGATGTCTGTTGTACCCGAAGACGACTTCGGTGCCACTGAGCATGCTACTAGCCTGAATAATAGTCCACCAATAACGCAGCACACTGTTGGACACACCTGTCAGCAACAGGAAATGCACGTATATAATGTAGCGTGTGCTTATTTT